CTAATTTTTGTATTGATTATTGAGGCTTTTGTCATATTTATGATTTGGCTGTTAGTATTTTTTTATCACTTTAATTGATGCAAAGAAGTTTGAATTAATTATTATCAATTATTATAGGATCAAAAAGTCGAATCACTCATATTTGTATATTGAGCCTTACGAGCCAATTGTACACGGAACTCTTGAGATCAACCAATCTGAACCTTTGGATATGTTGGTAATACGAATTATAGAAGATTTAATACAAATTGTAAAAGACTTTTTTACCATAGTTATCAACGGAAGTAATGGATTTGGACATCCAGATTATAATGGGTTAGTTCCGATATAAAATTAAAAACAAGTATGTTATGTCTGAAGCTTTTATTCTTTTTAGCAAAGTAAAGTTCAAAAGTTAGGATTTTTAGTTTCCTCGGCATCTTTTCTATATAATAGCTGGATGTCATAGTTCAGATATCCACATCTTCTTACGAATAGTATATTGATATAATTTTGTAAAAAATGCGTTTAATTTATTAAACTATTATTAACGTAAAGTTAAATTTGAATTTATTAAGTCAAGTTAGGTTTTTAAAATTCGGCTAATATTTGATAATTTTGGTCTAATCTAATAAAGTTAGGATCTTCAAAAATCTTTCCGAAACCATATAGTGGTACGTATTCGCCTTCATGCAGATTCACATATATGTAGGGAAATGTATGTACATCTTTTGAAAATAAGAACTCTCTCCCATTAATCCTTCATAATGAATAATGAATCTGAATCATCTATTAATAATGTGTCTTCAATAATTCCTGAAACTTGGACGGTTCGATCACAACCAAAAAAAAGAAAAACCACTCCTTCAAGTGTTTATATTAATCGAATTATTAATAATGTATCACTTCCTCCAACCTTTTCACCAGTAACATCAAATTCAAAAATATATAATTCAGTTGAATGGAAAAATTTAAATCAAACATTGTTAAATTCAAAAAGACAACAAAAAATTAACCAAGACTGGGCAGATGTTTATAGTAAATTCATTCAATTCAAACTGATATATGATGCTGTCAAAAAAAAAATTTTGAATATGACAATCAAAAAGATACTGAAATAAATAAATTGATCAAAGAATCTATTCCTGATGGATGTACCACAGAAATATCACGTTGGAGGAAGGCTTTCAATGTGGTTGTGCTTGTAATAGAAAATGAAAAGATTTGTTTTGAAGATTATCTTAAAGAAATAAGAGATTTGAACTTTACATTTAATTATCTTCAAGAGGTTGATCAAGAGGATTTTAAGACTTTGC